TAATGACAATAAAACTCTTGAATCCATCCATCTTCTGCTGCCTATTTATCGGGGTCATGCTGCCTATGTCCAGCAGTATTTGGGCTTAAGGTGGAGTACACACTGAACTGGTAGTCAGTTTGCTCATACACACCAGAGAGCAATTTAATGATTCCAATCCACCTGATCGTCACATTTCTGAACTATGGGAGGAAGCCAGAGTACCCAGAGAGAACCCATGCATGCACAGGGAGATATGCAAACTGCATGCTGAAAGACCCTCTGGCAGGATTCAAACCGAGGACCTTCTTACTGCAAGGCAACAGTGCTAAAAACAGCCCCATTTTTGACTCCAAGGCTGCTTTCATCTACTGCTGGTGGGTCAAGTTTTAAAGGAAGAAACCAGCCCCACACCACCACACTATCACTACCGTGTTTGAGCATCGGTACAATGTTGCTTCTGAAATGCTATGTTAGTTTTGCAAAAGATATAATAGAAATGTTAAGCTCTAAAAAAAACTACACATTTTTTTCACATCAGATCACAGGGAGCATAGAGACGTTATTTGTAGAAATGCTTTTGTTCTTTTGGTCAGATTCCTCATCCCAAAGATACCATTACATCTTTTCTTATGTTCTGTTCATCTGTAGCAATTTAAAGTGTTTTTGTTACTAAAACCGTGGGACTAAACAGACCTGAATGTGCCTAAAGGACAAAAAACAAACAATTAAAGTCTAATTTCATTGGTGAGCTAACTAAGCCAGCTAGATTCCAGTCTTAATAGCATTTCCTCCTGGGTTTAACTCATATTAAGTCAGGCTTCTTTTCCCTTGTAGTTAAATGTGTTTGACTTTTTAAATTTAAGTGAGGCTTAAAAGCACAACACACAAAAATTCGACATTTTAAAATAAACGTTCCTATTTCTGGCAATCACAAGAAAACAGAGTCATGATGCTATAGAAAAGGTAATTAAATACAAACAAAAAATGAATTTCAAATGTTTTTATTAAAGTTGCATAAAAGTGTAACAAAATTGGGCAAAAAACAAAACCAGTTTCTCATATTGCTACATTTGTTTGTTTGTCTAATCATTAAAAAAACAAAACAAAGCAAAACACTGCCACTATTACTCCATTCTGCATGGTTTAGCTCTTGTATTTAGCCTCAATGATCATCAGCATACAATATTTGATTTTTTTTTTTTTTTACATTTTCACCAACAGTAAGAAAAAGAAAAACATCATACTTATCAATAACAGTCTAAGAAGATATATATTTAATCCAAAACCTGAATTTAGAAACATAAAATCCACTCAAATTCAGCTGCTGATTGAAGTTGCCTAAAACAATCTGACCAATAAGAGGAAACCGCAGAGAGCTCAGTCTGGAAATGCCACAGATAAAGACAAAAGCAATCGCACCGGAAATATGCATCTGAATGGATTTTTTGTTATTGTTGTTGATTAGCTAACTGTTATTCCAAGGCTTGGCATCAAGAGGTGTGATGATCACGATAAAAACAGACCAGTCTTACATGGGTCAGAGTGAATAACATTGTTTACCTAAAACAGAATCGTTTCAAAAGGCCTAAGTATTAAACACTCACTTCTAATAATAAAAAAAGAAACATTTTGAAACAAGGAGTGACAGAAGATCACAAATTCTCCACATAATGCAGAGCTGCTTGCAAAAGTATTCACTCGCATTTCACTTTTCACATTTATTCATGTTAAACCGCAAACCTCCATAAGTATTTTATTAGGACTTCATTTGATGAACTAACATTATTTTTGCTAATAAAATATGGGAAGTGTGGAATGCATTTCAATTCTGCCGCATTATTCCAACACCGTAAAACAAAATCCCACAGCTTTGAATGCTTTACATCAACCAGAAATAGAAAGATTGGCCTAATTGGTTAGCAGTCATCAGAGAAGCAGGAGAGAGAGAGAGTCAGAATAACTCTGGAGGAGCATCTGAGATAAACAGCTCAGGTAGGAAAAATATACGTTGTGGATTGTACATATCTCTCCAGTTTGCAACAACAGGACTAAGACTGTAATTAGAGATCATAATTAGACATTACTTTTTGTTGAACTGTCATAAAATCCTATTAAAATTGAGTGGAGTTTATGGTTTTAAAGATGATAAAATGGGAAAACTTTCAAGGAGCATTCATACTTTTGGAAGGCAGTGTTGATCTGCTGAGTAACAGAAAACTGAAGTACTCCTGTTTGTTTTTTTTTGGTTTGTGTAACATAAATTATACCTAAGGCAACATTTGATTAAAAGAACGAAAAGAAAAATGGAAGTAAGGGAAGGAAAAAGGTGCAGAAATGAGAGAGCAGCAGCGTGTAAATGGGCTATATCTGAGAGGACAGTTAAAGGTCTGTAACGGCAGGTGCAGACGAATCGCGAAAAATGCCAGCGCTGCTGTTGGCCAGCAGGGTCTCAGGCTCTGATCTGATTGGTTGGCGATCAGAAACAGATGGCTTGTTCTTTGCAATGGTGTGTTTTGGAGAGGGAGGAGATGAAGCTGCAGCTGTGGACGCATGTCAGCTCTGCCTGTGCACCTGGAAATAAAACTGACACGTCTCAGATGCGGGCGAGTGAAGAAAGAGGAAAAAAAGAAAAAGGCTAAACGGATCAAAGATGATTCAGTTTCAAACGAAGCAACAAAAAGAAGAGAAAACAAACTCCCCCCCATTTCTGGACATCGTATTGGTGATTCTACTGGCGTGTGACAATCAAAGGAGGGAGCCTGGAGAAATGACATATCCGTTTAGTGAAAATGGGAAGTAAATAACAGAGGAAGTGATGTCAGGTTATTGTGGTGTGATTTTTAAAAAGGCAGCTTTTCAACAGGGTTCCCCTTTATGACTATCAGTTTGTGATTGACTAGAAATTAAAACAGGAACCAGTCCTATATCCCCCTTCCCTCCAAAAACAAAAAAAAACCCAGACAAATCTGTCCTACACAACAGCAGAATATACAGGCCCAAAAACACTCCATACTATGACAGATGTTGCTGTACATTATGTAGCAACATGCACTAATAATAACACAGATATACATGTGTATGTGCAGGCTGAGGAACAAAACATCCCTTTACGCCTAAAAGAAGAAGGAAAAAATGTTCTGGTCTAGCTTCAAATACAAAAACGGCTTATTTTAAGGTCTAAAGCAGGTCTTACAGCCAAACGGCTAACCAGTGAGTCTTTCTAAATGTTCAATCACTATTTCCAGGCATCAAAGTTTCCTCTTTGCTGTACTAAAGATAGATTTACACAACGCTTTGTGGTCAAAAGGTTCAGATTTTCTTCTACCAGAAATGACACACTGCAGGTTTTTTTTCAAAAGGGCATATATCATCATGTTAGAGCCAGAAAACCTATAAAAACCCTGACCAACATAAAAACTTGTCCTTTAAAATGGGATTTTATATTAAAAAAAGACCCTTTACTAAAACAGGAAGGCACTACCATATATGGATGATGACGTAGAGTCTGAAAACCTCTTATGGTACCGGTAATCACAAAAGGAGAGTTTTCACAATAAAAAATACCTTTATTAAGGCGTATGTGAAAAAAATGTGTGGTCGCTTATTTGGTGGCACCAGAAAAAAAAGGAAAAAAAAGCAGCAGGTATTTTTTCCCTCACAGTTAAAGAGAGATTTTTGCCCTTTGATTATGAAGCCATAATTATCTGGATTAAAAGTAAATACATAATCCAAAGCTATAGGAATGAAGACACAAGACAGCTCATTCCACGGTTAAGACGAATGGCTCAGGCAGGGAGTCGACAGGCAGACCAGGGTGACTTTCATACTGTATGTATATATAAAGTTGACCAGCTATGAAAATGTCTGTCTGAGTATCTCAGTCCTCATCATTCCCCTTCTGGAAGCAACTTTATAGCATTAGCTTAACTTTCTGATAGCCAAAGACACAGTAAACTAACCCAAAAGAAGACTAAATTATTATGAAAATTGAGATTTATACACTCACCGAATGAAGCATCCAGGTGGGACAGCTCTTGGATAAATTAATAGTCAGAACCGGAGCAGTAACTGAAACTTTTACCCTAAAAGCCACCCTAATTTCAGTGTCCTACATGGTAGTTTTTGTTTTTAAATCATAAACTCATTCTTTTATTTGCTTTCATGATATACATAAAAATATGACTTGTTTGCATTAAGGATGTAGGAGCTTTTTCTGATTCCCCACTGCAGTAGATTATAGGAAGACTTCCTCATGGAGCTTTTAAAATCCTCTGAAGTGTGCTGGTTTGTTAGGTTTCTACTACCCTTAAACATTTCCCTTGATTTCTGTCTTCTTACTGGAAAAAAAAATAATAATTCAAACTAATTTTTACCTTTTTAAGTCTGTTTTGAGGATTTTTGTTCTTTGTCTTTTTCTGGAAGTGTTTTTAACTGACTGTGTGTGTGTATTTAATATGCATTTTTAACAAACGTCTCCCAGAAAAAAAAAAAATCCTTATGGTTTATAATGACAGTACAAGCCTTGACTGATTGACTCTGCTTTAGTGGTCGGTATTCATGGTATTATGGCCTGACACCAGAGTTCAGTGGTTAAGCATAATTTAGCTGCTCCGCATTAATTTTTCGCTAGTCACTTAAAAAAAAAAAAAATCAGTTTTAATCATGAATGCAGAATGAATGCAGCTACTGTGAGCAATAAGCCTGGACACAAAGGAAGTAGTAAAAAAAATGATGATATATGCCCTTAGGGACACAGAAAAAGTCTTAATGCAGCACTGCCTGTGTTCAGGGGGCATAAATAGAGCCCCACAGAGATGATCTAAAAATGTTAAGGTAAAGTGATGATCCTCATGCCCTTAAACAGAAACAGGAAATCAAAACAGATCTCTAAATGGAGATAAACAAGTTAAGATATTCACATAATCTCGCTGGTAGAGGCTGAAGTATTTGTTACATCTGTATCCTTCTCCATTCTCAGTTTTCACCGTTTTTTGTGGCGGTGGGCCTGTATTTTACATGCAACCCCGCTTTTACAGTAATTATGGGACTCTGTTCCTCCACAGGCAGATGGGAAAGTGGGAGGAAGAGGAGAAAGATTAGGAGGAGAAGCGCCAATAACGGCAGGCGAGGAAACAATGAGGAAGGAGAGAGGTTGGATTATAACAGACAAGTTACCTCGCAAATTATTAATTTCTGCTGAAGAGAGTCAAAATCCTTGGAGGTAAATTAAAGTGGTTTAACTATAAGCTGAAACAAGGGTAGGCTGTAATACATCATGACCTTCAATGGAAGAAGACATTAAATAAAAAATAAATGGGGCAATGAGGGCAGTGAGGGCTGGAGAGGACGGGAAAATGTGGGGGGAAAGGAAGGATGCCATCATTTCTTCTGAGGTGTAGAGAGCTTCTGCATTCCTCTGATTTTGTCAAGCAGCTCTGAGATGAAGTCCTACATGAAGACAAGAAGAACAGGACTCACAATGTGCTTGTATACCAAGTAAATGGAGCTAAAGCAGAGGATAGAAGCCAGTTACTTTACCTCAGTAGGTTTAAAGCAGTCAACCAGTAAGTCCTGTAAAATAATGAAATAAATGAACGTAAACTCGATTCCCTTTTTATCCCCCATGACTGTTATACTCTGGATTTTTTCCTCACCTTGACCCTGGCTGCACGCTCAACATCACTGGGCATGTCCAGCAGTTCATCCACATCGATTTCCAGCTCCGGGATGGCCTCCTCCTGGAGCAATGACAAAATAGTAGAAACATTCTGATTAATGTACACTTTAAACACTAGAGGGCAGCAGACACTCATCACACACCTCTGAGAAAGAAAGGGGAGACACAAAGAAACCAGAATACGGCCAGCTTAGTGATTGCGAGTTTGCAAAGAGAAAAAGTATACGTTTAATCACTTGTATCAGACTTATCAGACTGAAATTAGGAATTTTTAAAAAATATCCCACTATACAACACGTAAGTGATGCGTAAAAAACTGCAACATCAGTATTAAAACTGCAAAGTGGCATATTAGATACAAGCTATGGAGGTAATTATTTCATGGTTCCATCTGCCAGCAACACAATATTAGAACTAAGGAGTCTCATCTAGTTTAAAGACAAGGATATACAGTTATATGTGATTTAACACCTTATCTTAAAACCATATAATCTGTATTTTCGCCTTAATAAAAAAAAGTTACATTTTAATTAGTCTTGTTAGCCTGTGTTACTTTAACAGATTAATCAGCTCTGAACAGTGATTTTAAAGTCAGATGCTGAAACTATCTAAACTTTTTCCTCCTGTCCAACTTTTACGTTACAATTTTAAAAATGCATCTCACCCTTTAAAAAGTATTATTGACATGCAGAGCACGAATGGAGGAAAGGGAAGATGTGATTGGGCCACTGAATACCGCAAATATAGGGACCAAGCGTTTAGCTATTGTGATACGACTGATGTTGCAGTGAGAACTGAGAGTCTGATCAGCTCTAGATTGATAGATTTGAATGGATGGGCAATTCATTCCTTATGCAATATATTACAATTTCACAAAACACAATTTTGAAACGGCAGAGGATATAAATTTTGGTCACATTACATTTAACAAGAGTACAGTAGAGACTAAATTTCTCACTTCAGTCCTTTAGGTGGCAGTGTTACACTTAATGTGGGATTGCTCCATAGAGAAGGAAAGAAAGAGAAGCAACTAGCATACAGCATGATGGTAGAAATAAGAAGATTTTCAGTAGTGATGGTGAGATGACATGAGGCATTGAACCATTTGGCCAAATTGCTTCAACGATCCCCACAGTTCATGAAGCCTCATGTGGACATGTCACCACCTACTGGTAATGTGGAGAACTACAGTCTGTAATAAAATCTGATTTTTTGCAATTGTTTGTCTTCTTCTAGAGATTTGAAACAGTTACAAAAATATATTTTATTGTGATATTACAGATGAAAATGACTATAAATAACATTACAAATTACCTACGGACATTTCTCTCTTTAGCACTCTTAACGACCTTTAGCATATCAGTCGCTAATATAAGTACCTAGTTTGGGCTTTACAGGCAGTCCTATAGCTGGACCAATATCTTACAGATATGAAACCCCTGAAATAAAACCACTTGAAAAACAATTTCCGATCACATTTTGCATTTAAGCATTTCCGTAGGAGTTTAAGCATTGCAAGGGCATTAGGATCATGAGTATGCACAGCTCTGTGTGGAGGTCAAATAAAACTAACTGCTAAAAATGTAGCCTTGAGAAACCCAACATTTGGTCTTTCACTGAGTTTTCTCAGATTAACGTTCATAAAATGACAAGTAAAATCTGAACCAGTTTATCACAGTACCAGACCTTCTGACCGGCTTTTCAATCAATGTCCGAATGAAGATAATTTTGGATAAATCACAAAACATGAACAGAAATGTGAAGAACCTGGAGAACAGTCACTCCAGTGTTTGTTTCATTGTCATAATTAGTCTTCAGTGTGATTTTTCAAAGTAGTACAACACAAAAAATCCCCAAATGCAAACACTTTTTTTGATTCAAGCCCTCATTTCTTCCTCTTTTAAGCTCAATTGCTACTCTACGCTCATGTTGTTCTCCAGGAATCTCGCCGTCGCTCCGGTCCTCCCCCTCAGTTGGAGTTGCCCACACAAGCTGTCTCTGCACCTGCCCAACTAAACCCCCCCACCACCAACCCCATAACCCTCGCCTATCTCCACCATGCAAATACGAAATCCACAACCAGTCGACAGGATGCAGAGTCTGCACAGCCGAGTGTCAGATTAATAGGCCAGTCTGGATTTAGATTCCTTTTTGGTGAAAATGTGCACGCTGCTTTTTCAGTGTAGGGATTAATGAATTATAAAATGAGCTAAATAAGTCTGAGATGGTGTGCTTTTAATCCTGCACAGGACAGCCTGGGTGTGTGTGATAGAGACTGAAAGTGACAGATAGACCTACTGTCAGCAAAGAACTGCAAACAGACTGAATGTAAGAATCAAAGTAGATGGTAAAACAGCATCAGAGTTAGAAAATACACTGGAATAATGCACCAACCCTTCGGCTACTGAAGCTAAAGTCGGACACAAAGAAGGATCTGCCAACACGTGGTCTCCATGTGCCTCCACGTGGTTAAAAAACAAGCCACAACTAACAAACGGCTATGTTATGAAGAGCTACCTTTTATCTGTGAAAATAATCCCATCTTTTAAGTCATGGTGAGGCTAGTTAAATATTTAACATGACGTTTAATGCTGTCGACTAGACAGAGATTTAACAGGCGGTGTTAAGCAGTGGAGGGAAGGGGGAAGGGAATGCCGAGAGGAAGGAAGGTAAGAGGTTAAGGAGCCAAAGGAGAAGAGACTGTAGCTGAGTGGAGCTCCCTGAAAGAGCGAGGAGGAGCAGGGGAAGGAGACGAGGACATGCTGCGGGGATAAAAAAAGGCCGGAAGACAGGCTTCAGAGAGGAGACACAAAGAAAGCCGGGAATCATGAGGGAGGATTTCCAAAACAACCCTCCAGTCTGACTGACTGGGTGTCTAGAAGGAGGGAATGCACCGTTGTCTGCAGATGTGGCCTGGTATAAAAGCTGCCTGCAAGATACTGGCAGGGTCTACGGAGTTGAGGCAAAGCAGTGTGATGGAGGACAATCAAAGAGATCCAAAAAAAGATGAAAAGATCAGCTTTATCCTGAACTCCCAGCATAAAATAAACTATATTTCCCTTTTATCCTGGTACTAACCTTTGATGCAGACAAAGATGTGAAAGAAATATTTTACAGGAAGCGCTTTAGCCAGATATGGAAAAAAAAAGGACAAAACTGAGTTAAAGGGCTCCATTTTTACTGCAACTAACCTATATTGAGGCAAATTGCAAGTTTCCTTCAGTAATAAACAAACACACTGGCTGAACAGAAAAAGCTTTAGGGAATTTAGGGAATCCGTTTTCAACAATCCCCCAAGAAACAGAAAAGCTCCCATCTATGACATGTTAGTCCCAGTGAACATGGCTGATGGGACAAAGAGAGGATGCAAAAACAATCATTACTAACCCTTACATTAAAAGGAGTGTATTTGTTTTATTCACTATTAAAACTGTGGCATAAATCCAGACAGCAAACTGGAAGCAACACCTTTTATTAACTGGTGCATTTGTTGGTTGAAAACTATCTAGATGTTTAAATTATATCAGTTTTATAGGCTTTGCTCTGCTACTCTTTGCAAAATTATCCAAATCCTGGCAGATTTTGGATTATTTTAATTAAACACACATTTTATTAGTAGGAACTTTATAAACTTTCAGTTCGGTGGAAATTAAGCTATAACCAGAAATATCAATTAGGATTAAGTACTCATACATGGAAATGATTGCATTTAAGGACAATACTGACAATAGCTGTATAAAAACAAAAGTACTTCATAGGTTCTAATCTCATTTTGGTATCTAAATGCAATATATTATTCTTATTTAGGCTGTGTTCTTATGAAAAATTAAACAAAATATGAATATTGTTAAATATAATATGGAATAATAATATGCAAACAGAGAACTTAGTGAAAAGTTTTAGAATGCAGCTGGGCAGCATTAGGATTCTGCTGGTTCTGTTCACTCGGGTTCCTGCAGCAGTACTCTTCTGCGCTTTAATTAGCTTACAGTTTAATTCCTCAAATCATCTGGGCTCAGCGTGACTGTAACCTTGCTTCGGAGTCGCTGTAGTCTGTGAACGCCAGAGTTGAGCAGGATTTAAAACCTGCAGGAATAAGTAAACCCAAACCTTCTCCGTTTCCTTTTAGAGCCATACGGATTTTCTTTGCTCATCTGTGGCCCTTTTTTCTCAGATTTGCATGTTTTAATTTCTCTCTGCCAGCCCATCGCAAAAGACTAGGAAGCTTGACATAGATCGCTGTAAATGCAGTCCTAAAACGTACCTTGGTTAAATCTTCTAACAGAACAGAGGCCTTGATCCTAACCGGGATCTGCCATTTGAAGGTATCTCACCTCCCTGAAGGAGGCAGTTCAGACTAATGTACTTATAACATAGTGGTACTTACCGCTGTTTTCTTTTCATCAAAGAAATAAAAGCCCAGCGTGTAGCCAAAAGCCTCTACTGGATGTAAATGAGGAGCATCACCTGAGGAACACACAGCATCCTGGCCCACTGCCCAGCTGTATCATTGTGGCCTTTAAATTAAATTACGTTCTTCCTGACAAGCTTGCAAATATGATTCACACAGAGGCAGGACACATGGAGATAGGGCACCAGACGGCCCCGCCGCTCATCTGGAGGCTTCCTGTGCCACAGAGCAAGGCTCACATGTGACAGTATGGTGGAGTGGTCTCTGAATGCTCTGTGTGTGTAGATCAGAGCATCTTCAAGATATAATACACAGTTATGATATAATCATGTACTGCAGAGCAGTAAAAGCTGCATGGAAACATTTCTGGATGTTACATATACTTTGTTTATTTAACAGTTTAACTGCACATAGTCAGAGTTTAAAGGTCACTACCATCTAAAGATACAATGATTTCAGCTTTTTTAGACTGCTTCTTGATTATTTCAACAACTTTGTTTTTTGTTTTTTTGAGTAATATTGGGAACCCCAGAAGCTTAAATACCTGTTTGAGTTAGAAATTCATCTCAATTCACAGTAAAGGATCCTTTTTACTCAAGGTAGCACATGATTTATGAGCCTTTTCCTGACCATCAATAGAGATCTTAAAG